TTCCAGAGAGAAAAGATATCTATCTTGCAAGAAGTACAGCCCAAATGCTCCTTCGAAGTGAGGATGGTGAGACTTTGCTTCACCTACTTTAGAGAAGTCACCAGGAGAGACCAGCCCCTGGAAAAGTAAGTCACGCTTGGTAGAGGCACAGTGAAGAAGAAGAGAAGCTTCTACAAGATGAACCGACCCAGTGGCTGCCACAACGGGCTCCAACACACAACAGCTGTGCGGCCGGTGCCGGCTGGGGCAGGGTCTAGGAATCAGAACCAACCCACCCAACAGAAGCTAACAACAGTAACAAGAGACCACGAGCCTGTTGGGTCATAAAAACTATTGAGGTCTCACAATTCAATCAGATCAACTACATTTTTTTCCTAGATGGTTTGGGAGGTAACATGAACGGTATCTTAGCTTCCATGATTGAAGCTCAGTCCACTTCTTGAATTTGATCCCTTTTTCCTTTCATTCAGGAGCCCTGGTTTTGTATTGCATTATGTGTTGGGCTGTTAAGATCAAGATTAGCAATTCCAAACCACCCAAGCTGCCCTGTGGGAGAAAGATGACATTTTCTACTACTGTAGAGTTACCTTCTCGGAAACCCCTAGGGGGCCGATGACTGGTCCTATAGGGTTCATGTTGTAGGAATTGACACCATGAACGTGAATAGTTTTTGTTCCATTGAAGAAGGTGCAGTGGGTAAAGTGCATGGCAGCAGCTGGCACCCAGCAGTCGTTCCTGGGGAGAAAAATGTGTCAGTTTGCTCACACAAAGCGTGCAGTCTTGGGAAACCTGGGAGACAGCTCTGTCCTCTGTGCCCCAGTCAGAAGGCAGCAGACTGGGTTTGGTGGGGGTTTCTTTGTTCGATGATGAAGCCCGAGCTTTTGGTGCCCTCTGCCGGCTAGACTCTGAAAGTGCACAACACCGCGATTCTTACAGCAGAGCCAGTGACTGAGCTGAACTTTCGTAAGGACATCCAGGTGGGGGAGTCAGAAAAACGGGTGGGTGACTGGACCGCCGGGCTGGGATTTGGCTGCGAATTACGTGCCTAGAGGTGAAAATTCCTGCCTCGGTAGGGAAAGAGGTGGACTCAGAGGCCCAGCAGTCAGAGGTGGAAGGAGAGCCAGGGTCGCTGTGGTTAGCGTTCCCCCCA